GTTGGAGAAATATCGTCGTTACCGCAACAAGTGTCGCGAGATGCATGAGTGGTTGAAGGCAAACCCTGGTAATCGGGATCTTGGTGAGGAGTTGGAGAAAAAGGACCAGGAATTGATGCAGTCTATCCGCAGTAGAAGTGTGCTTGAGGAGCAACTTCGAATATAGGACGAGGAGCTAGAGTTGGGAAAGGTGGTCACCGCAGAGTGCGAGCATCTGCAAGAGAAATTGAGGTCAATGTAGTCGGAGATGGATCAAAACTTGATTAAGGTCGAGGCACAGAGCGTCGGAATGGATGAGGAAATTGACTGAGCTGGAGAACAAGGTTGCTGGGTTGGAGAGCATCGAAAGTGCTTGGTCCGGGGCTTCGGCAAGGGCGGCGGCTCTGGAGAACACCATCCACGTCCTCCAGTCCGAGCAGGAGTCGGAGAGAGCGACGACTACCCTTATGGAGGCAAGGCTTAAGGAGCGCATTAGCGAGATTGATCAAGAGGCATCGGTTCTGGGAGATCGGGTTGCATCAGTGGAGGCAGAAAATGGGCGACTGTTAGCTCAGATTGAATCTTCCTCCACCGCCGTTCCCCGCCACATGCACGAGCTTTGGGTTTACGCCGAAGCCCAGCGGGATATATACAAGAGTTTGTGAGAGGCGGGTACTGTGACTGAGGCTGCATATGAAGAGGCGCGAGTGAAAGTGCGGGAGGCTCGTGTCAAATGTGGGTATGATGCAGCAATGCCAGAAGCTAATGGGGGCGCGGACGCCGAAGGAAAACTTCCCGGAGATGGCAGTGGAGAGGGTCGCGATGATGATGCAGAGTAGAGGGATAGTGATATTGATTAGTTTTCTGTTTGTTGTTTTCTTCCCAATTTTTCGTTCGTAGTCGATTGTCGTTGTTCCTTTTTTTATTTTTTCCCTTTGTTGTTGCTTTTTTTTTAGACTGTTGACTTGGGTCTTATGTAATCTGCGACCATTTGCGCGGAGACATTGTATAAAGGAGAATTTTTTGCTGTTATTTGTCTTGTATTCTACTCTTGTTTTCGTTTCGCGTGATTCCGGTACGAGATAGATTCCCGCACGGCGAGTCCCGGTCTTTTGCACTTTCCGATATAATTTGGCCTTAGGAATATTTCGCACTTTCTCATTGGCGATGGCTTATGGCCTTAAAGGATGTTTGCCAAAATAGTAACCTGTCTTCGTTCGATTGAGGTCGAACTCTCCTCTTTTTGGCGAAGGCCCTTGGCCTTAAAGGGTGTTATTTCGAACTTACCGAAATAGTAACACGTCTTCGTTCGATCGAGGTCGAACTCTTCTTTTTGGCAAAGGCCCTTGGCCTTAAAGGGTGTTATTTCGAACTTATCAAAATAGTAACCCATCGTCGTTCGATCGAGGTCGAACTCTTCTTTTTTGGTGAAGTCCCTTGGCCTTAAAGGGTGTTATTTCAAACTTATGGAAATAGAAACCCGTCGTCATTCGATCAAGGTCGAACTCTTCTTTTTGGCAAAGTCCCTTGGCCTTAAAGGGTGTTATTTCGAACTTACCGAAATATTAAACTGTCGTCCTCCGATCGAGGTTGAACTCTTTTTTTCTGGTGAAGGCCCTTGGCCTTAAAGGGTGTTATTTCGAACTTATCGAAATAGTAACACGTCGTCATTCGATCGAGGTCGAACTCTTCTTTTTGGCGAAGTCCCTTGGCCTTAAAGGGTGTTATTTTGAACTTATCGAAATAGTAACCCGACGTCGTTCGATCGAGGTCGAACTATTCTTCTTGGCGAAGGCCCTTGGACTTAAAGGGTGTTATTTTGAACTTATCGAAATAGTAACCCGTCGTCGATCGATCGAGGTCGAACTCTTCTTTTTGGCGAAGGCCCTTGGCCTTAAAGGGTGTTATTTCAAACTTATGGAAATAGTAACCCGTCGTCATTCGATCGAGGTCAAACTCTTCTTTTTGGCAAAGTCTCTTGGCCTTAAAGGGTGTTATTTCGAACTTACCGAAATATTAACCTGTCGTCCTCCGATCGAGGTTGAACTCTTCTTTTCTAGCGAAGGCCCTTGGCCTTAAAGGGTGTTATTTCGAACTTATCGAAATAGTAACCCGTCGTCGTTCGATCGAGGTCGAAATATTCTTCTTGGCGAAGGCCCTTGGACTTAAAGGGTGTTATTTTGAACTTATCGAAATAGTAACCCGTCGTCGTTCGATCGAGGTCGAAATATTCTTCTTGGCGAAGGCCCTTGGACTTAAAGGGTGTTATTTCGAACTTATCGAAATAGTAACCCGTCGTCGTTCGATCGAGGTCGAACTCTTCTTTTTGGGGAAGGCCCTTGGCCTTAAAGGGTGTTATTTCATACTTATCAAAATAGTAACCCGTCGTCGTTCGATCGAGGTCGAACTCTTCTTTTTTGGCAAAGGCCCTTGGCCTTAAAGGGTGTTATTTCGAACTTATCAAAATAGTAACATGTCTTCGTTCGTTCGAGGTTGAACTCTTCTTTTTGGCGAAGGCCCTTGGCCTTAAAGGGTATTATTTCGAACTTATCGAAATAGTAACTCGTCGTCGTTTGATCGAGGTCGAACTCTTCTTTTTTGGCGAAGGCCCTTGGCCTTAAAGGGTGTTATTTCAAACTTATGGAAATAGTAACCCGTCATCATTCGATCGAGGTCGAACTCTTCTTTTTGGCAAAGTCCCTTGGCCTTAAAGGATGTTATTTCGAACTTACCGAAATATTAACCTGTCGTCCTCCGATCGAGGTTGAATTCTTCTTTTCTGGCGAAGGCCCTTGGCCTTAAAGGGTGTTATTTCGAACTTATCGAAATAGTAACCCATCGTCGTTCGATCGAGGTCGAACTCTTCTTTTTGGCGAAGGCCTTTGGCCTTAAAGGGTGTTATTTCGAACTTATCGAAATAGTAACCCGTCGTCGTTCGATTGAGGTCGAACTCTTCTTTTTGGCTAAAGCCCTTGGCCTTAAAGGGTGTTATTTCGAACTTATTGAAATAGTAACCCGCTGTTGTTCGATCGAGGTCGAACTCTTCTTTTTGGCAAAGGCCCTTGGCCTTAAAAGGTGTTATTTCTAATTTATCGAAATAGTAACCCGTCGTCGTTCGATCGAGGTCGAACTCTTCTTTTTTGGCGAAGGTCCTTGGCCTTAAAAGGGTGTTATTTCGAACTTATCGAAATAGTAACCCGTCGTCGTTCGATCAAGGTCGAACTCTTCTTTTTGGCGAAGGCCCTTGGCCTTAAAGGGTGTTATTTCGAACTTATCGAAATAGTAACCCGTCGTCGTTCGATCAAGGTCGAACTCTTCTTTTTGGCGAAGGCCCTTGGCCTTAAAGGGTGTTATTTCGAACTTATCGAAATAGTAACCCGTCGTCGTTCGATCAAGGTCGAACTCTTCTTTTTGGCGAAGGCCCTTGGCCTTAAAGGGTGTTATTTCGAACTTATCGAAATAGTAAACCGTCGACAGTCCTAGTTTTTGGAGAGCCAGACATTTTCTGGTTGAGTCCCAGTTCGTTTGACATTGCTTGCATCAGGGGGGGGGGCAACGTTGGAGAATACAAAACATTGCTATTTTGCTTAGGTTCATTCTGCGCACACACTGTAGTTTCCTTGTCTGACTTCTGCCTTCCGGCTTGGAAATGTCACCGGCGGGCGGTGTTTCGGTTGTTTCGCAGTAGTTTTTTGTTCTTTAATTGAGATATTTCTTTACTCGCTCGTCCGCGCGGCCTTTGTGTTCCTTTTTGAGCAAAGTGCAGAAGGTGAGTTAAAATGATACTTTCCTTACCCCTACCCGGTGGTCCAATTGGGGAGAACAGGTTGGTAACGTTGTTCGTCTTGTTTGGCATTTCGATGGTTGATGGGGCGAAGATTTCTAAATTTGGCGATTCTACTCGGCTCTCCTTCCCCTATCTCGCATGGGTTAGGTTTTTCCTTCGCGCTCTTTTCGGTGGGTGATCGTATTTCTTGTTTTTGATCTGGGAGAGACTAGGAAATTTCACTAAGAAATCCCCACAGACGGCGCCAAATTGTTTGACTTAGAAGATATCGAAACTTTTTTGAACAAATCAATCAAAGAAGATGAAGAGGTAAATCTTACTTAGACATAATAAATTCCAGATCAAAGAGCTAATAGTATGGATTGTATATAGGATGAAAAAAGATATAAACGATCTTATTGAAATTCAACATTGTGACTTCCATCGATCGATGGGGGGATAGCTTTACATGTTCTTCTGTAGATTCCTTCTTTCCTATCAAGATTATAAGAAGAGAGCTTGGGAGAGAGAAGGGGGAGAAGACCCCCTTAATCGAAGGTTTTCCCTACTATATATAGTCAAGGCACCTTTGCCATTTACTTGGTCCAAGCTNCTTTACTTGGTCCGACGCTCTCTCGCCTCCAGTGTGCCTTGGTCGTCCTTTTAGGCACTGCTCTTTCCGACTCGACGGATGTCGGGAAAGGGATGTAGAGTGAGTTATGTTATCTTTCACTGCCCGGTCATTTAGGCGCGACGTTGGTCAGTTCGGCCGTGACGGTCAGATTTTGACCAATACATATCTGAACCTTTTCTCTCTAATAATTTGGACATGTTGAGTCCATTACATTTCACGCCGGAGCTCCATTAATGATACAAATGATTTACTATCAACAAGTGTATGAATTGACCAAAAGTGTAAGAATTGACCAATTTCGGATAATACAAATTTCGACTTTTTTCCTAACAAAACTTAGCTTCTCATCGACTATGTCAGAAATAAGATCTGCAACTTCATGTACCACCAACTGACCAAAGTATGTGGTGCAGTGGATGAGACTGCTCTTCCTTAATCAGGGTTTAGGGTTCGAATCCTGAGTATGGAAAAATCTTTGATGGGAGTGCTTCCCGAGTGGGGCCCTACGCTACGCGAATCTGGATATAGTCGGGCTCCAATGCGACTACCGGACACTAAAAACAGGGTGGGAACAAAAAAAAATTCATATACAATGTAAGCTAGAACGAAATTATTGTAGCTACTTTGGTGTTAGGAATTGCACCACAACCAAATCGATTGAGTGAGTCATCGGATAATTCTCTTCAAAAGATCTATTTTCTCTAAATGTCCTTTTACAAAATTTAAGAACCCAAATCAGTAATTTCAAATTTATATCCCTTTTCAGCTGATTGTTGAATCAAGAACCTTCCTTTTTCAGCTGGGGTTTAAGATCCCAAATTAGTAATTTCCAATTTATAGAAACTTTCATTCAGAAAAACACGATTGTTGAATCAAGAACAATTTTCAGCTGGGGTTGAAATGGAGGTGGTACAACATAGGTGGAGGTTAAGGTGGTCATTCAAGAATGCTACAATTGTTGTCACTTTGTTCAATTTGATTGCTTCCATTTTTCTACTTCACAGCTTTTTCTCTTCTTCATCTTCCAGCAAACCATCTTCAGGTTCCTTTTCTTCTTGCCCTTTTCTTTAAATTTACTTCAATTTCAGGTCAAACATTTCTTGGATTTTCTTAATTATCTATAGATTGCGTTTTTTCTGTTTGATCTTTTCTGGGTTGTGTTGAAGGAAGCTATAGAAGACAGAAAATTGAAAAAGCTCTTAACTTCTTAGGATATAGGAGGTTTTGTTATTTGATCAAGAACTGTAAATATGGTTGCTTTTCCTTTAACAGCTTGTTTGGATGGTTGTTACTCATTGTATCGTATCGTATTTTTACTTTAAATATAATGTTTGTTTTGATTGTTACTTAAATTTTATTGTATATATCGTTAAATCCGTCGTTACATAACGACGAAATGTGTCACTTTATGTAACGACCGATTTGGTGTGGTCGCGTCGTTACCTTGTCTTTTTCTCTCAATCTCACCCTTTATTATTACTAAATTATTTTATTTTATCATTTACCCTATCTTTTTATATAGTAATTTTACCTTGTATCATAATTTTTCTTTATAATATTGCAAGTTTATTCTTCATATTGTTGGTGTGTGATATCATGAAACGATGGCAAACGACACAATCTATCCAAACATTGTATTTATCAAACGATACAGTACAATACAATATAGTACGATACGATACATTATGAAACGATGCGTAACAACCATCCAAACAAGCTGTAAATTTGCTTCATTTTCAGTTAAATAAAATCTTCGATTTTTTTAAAATCTAAAAATTGTGTTTTTTCTGTTTGATTTTTTTCTGGGTTTGTGTTGAAAGAAGCAACAGATCACAGAAAATTGAAAAGTGCTTAATTTATTTAGGGTAGAGGTTTTGCTATTTGATCAAGAACTGGAAAAATGGTTACTTTGATTAGGAGTTGTTGCATTTGGTGTTCTAAATTTTCACTTTGGAACCATTTTCTGTGTAACTGAGAGCAAATGAGGCTAAAAAGTTACTGCCTTCTCTTGTATTCCCTCTAATGTAAACTATTTAGTGGAATTTCTTGCTTAAATAGCACAAATAAGGTTTCTTGGAAGTTGCCATCTGACCCTTTTTAGTTTCTGCAATCCTTTTTGAAAGTGCCCATGGAAATGATATTCCTAATTTGGTTTGTCCTTATGGAGGTAAAATTGGGTAATTAATTTGTAAGCCCAATCAAAAGTTGCATCGGAATTGTGCTTGCACCATTTTATGATTCAATGGAAACAAAAGATATCCACTTTTTGCAGAAGCTGTTTTAAAGCAGTACTTCCTTCGCTTCAATTTGTGTGGCGTGGTCTTAAACATACCATGAGGCTTGTATGTCTGTAAAAGCATGTCATTAAGGGTGTTTCCAGAAATAGAAATGTGTCTTTTTTTGGAACAGACTAAAAGGAAATAGTGTCACATAAAAATGAATAGACAGAGTAGTAGTAATTGCTGGCATGTAGCGAAATAAAAGGCGGAGGTGTAGATAGCCAGCTTTGTTCTTAAAAAGTTGTTTTAGGATATTTCATTTTCTTGTCAAATAACTATCACTAGATATCCTAATCTTGGTAAGAGGATGGCTATGGCTAATGGCATCTTGATGTTTGAACTGCAGTTGAAATGTATATAAAGGAAGCAGAAGAGATTCGCCGTGCTATGCTGCCTGTGGAGCTAATTAAAAGAGTGAGTACCATCCTTTTTCTATGTTCTGCTGTAGCTGAATAATTAGGATGCTGTGCATCAATAGTATTTTTATGTCTTGTTTTCTATTTTCTGAGATTTCTGGAGAATACAAAATCTTCTGTCTTGATAGGTGAAGGAAATACAGAAAGAAGCATATGTCGAACCAGATCCTGTTCAACAGAAGGATGCAAAACAGACTGCTGCAGTAGACCTCATATCTAGACTGAACAATTATCGGTCATATTCTGATTCAGGCAGTGTGAAAGGTAAATATTCAACAACCCACTCTTCTTTCCTTCAGACACAAAAAGACCTCTATAACACTTAGCCATAAGTTGAGTCCATCAACCATGTCTTCTGCCATATGGTGAGTCCGTGAACTATGTCTTCTGCCGCTCTTGGTATCAGTAAAAGAGAAATTTTGGTGCTGAATTAAACGACATAGCATGATTCAGTCAGTCGTATATCTTCTATGACTCACACTTATTGTTATATATGATATCAGTCATCTGATTCGGTAATGAATTGAGGCAATACAAAGGACAACTTAATTGTCATGCATCAACTTTATCTGTTTTATTTCAATGCATGTTAGTTCTTGGAGAAGTAGTTTTAATCAGATGAGCTCGCATACGTGTAGGACCCTAGCTCGATTCTCTACTTCTACACTAGATCTAACACAATATCATGAAATAAATCGTGCCCAGAGAATATCCAACAATCTATGAGTGACCTTCATCTTTTTATCCTGGAGCTCTTTTGATAACTTTGAATGTGGATTACTGAGTGTCAGTAACCTTTATATGGAGTTTGAAGAAACTGACCCAGTACACTTACTGTAAATATTATCTGGTTATGTGATTGCGAAATAATTCAGTTTATCAATCAGTTTTCAAAATCTTCAGAGTCTTCCTGTGACACCCCCTGGATTTGTTTCCTCTAGTGTGTCCAAAATATACTTCCCTTGTAAGGTGAGAAATGTTTGGACTATACTACCTCAATTCCCAAAAGGCACTTAATTTAATTTTTTATTTTTCCATTCTTTGTCCTCAAGGTGGTTAAACAAATTCTGCTTGAGTTGAGATAAATACATTTATCATGACAATCATGACACAAGAAACTGAACGATCGGCTTCACTTCAAGCCATCCCAAATTGTTGGGACTGAACGACACAATTGAACCTTCAAAATTATACCTAAGAGGATTAGTTCAGACCATATAATGACCAAGTTAGTCTTCTAGGCTTTTATCCCATATAATGACGAAGCTCGCTTGTGCTCTCTCGCGCGTTATCCTATTCCGGTTCGATCGATGCCATTCTTCGTTATATACCTGACAAATTGGGAGGTGTAGCCGCAATAGCATCAGTTTTTATGTCCGTTGGCTCCACCCAAAAAGCTGTGCACCCCCTTCTGGATGATGAGCCAGAGTGAGAGCCCACAATAAGCTAATGGATGCGATCTCTGCGGGATAATTAATTCCCCCTTTTTAATTCACAGATAGCACAGTTGAAAAGACGTAAAGGAATTTGCGAGCCTGCTTCAGTCCTTGCTACATTTCCCATCTCCTCTTTAGCCATCTCTACATCTGCCAGAATCAGATCATTGACCCAATTCTGGCATTTATGGTGGTGGACTGGTGGACATACTCGATTGAAATGGGAAGAACTACTCATCCAACGAGTTGGCATACCTCTTAGCATTCCCCTAAAACTGAGCTTGCCAAGCGGTCAGTGATGCAGGTTGTTAATTGTTAGCTACCAAAGAGAATGTGTGCTATTCAAATTCATAAATTTGAGTGTACCCTTTAACAATAGGCAAGCCTTCAGTCAATCAGTTTTGCATCTGGATCCACTTTCACAGAATAAAAATAGTGGCACCTAGCAGCAGATTTGACCTGCCGTCAATGAAATCAATTTCTAAGTGATATTGGCAAGGAAAGCAGTCATCTTCTCTGTGGTGACATCTCGTTATCTTAGATATTCCAATGTCTCAAGTCTTTTCTACAATAGCATTAGTCAAAGCTGATACAAATCAAAAGATGAGGACATACAATGATAGTTCAGAAAGTTATAAATGTGATGTAAATAATGAGAAGAACAAAGACATTTGTGTATCACAATGGACGGAGTGGTGGTATCTGCTAATGCCGAGCAGGTGAGGGTTAAAGTACGAGTAATCAGGAGTTGCCAGCATACATGTATCATGTGAAGAATTATCATGGGCGTTAGTAGGAGTACGAGAATGACATGAGTAGACTTGGGGAGGAGGAGGACTGACTTGTGATATAGGAAATATATGACTTAGTAGTTTGTCTTATCCAGTATTCTAAAAAGACACTAGGAAGAATAAGGAAGGATGATTGAGAGAATTGTTAAGTTTGATTATTCCCTCAAGTTTGAATGGGCATTTATACTAAGTACGTAGATTATTGTGTCGGTAATTTACATGTTTTTGGCAAAATTACATCTCCTAACCTAGGTAAGATTGTGTTGGTAATTTACATGTTAGTTCTCATAAAAACTCAGGACTAATAGGTATGTATGAACTGGTCGCCATAATCATCTTAGACCAGGGAAATCCATGAAGACATTGTTGTTTGTTTCTCTCACATGTGCTTGGAGCATGCAATAGAGTGACAGACGGTTTTGTAGGGGCTTCTCCAGTCCTGTATATTCTCCTTCATGAGTTATCCATCATGTGGATGAGAACCAATAGTTATGAGAAACAAGTTATTCTGGTAATAAATTTCATCATGAAATTTTCATGCATCGAACTCCATGACTGAAAAGTAGCATGCCTCTATTCTGGTAATAATTTCTAGTACTCTCTTCTTGCTCTCATTAATATTTCATGTGCTTGATTAAGCTTTTCAACTCCATCGACAGTGCACAGTAGCTGGATGAGTGTTGCTTCTACCCATGGCTTGGCGTTTATTTAAAAATGTTCTTGGTTGCATTTCAGAACCATTAGTTGTTAAGAATGCTAAATCTACTGTTAGGAGCTTTAAAAAACCAAATGGGTGGCAATACCAATTTTCAGATAGAATTTGCTTCAGAGAGTGATTTTTCCCTCTCTCATGCACAAATCTTTATCCCTCGAAGATGGTACACAGTTAAAATCATGATTTTGTATGGTTGTTTGTTAAACATGTTCCTTCAACAATTAAACTGTTCTTCATTTACTGCAACTATACAGTTCTGGAAGAATGGCGTAAGCGGAAGATGGAAAGAGCCAGACAACGTGAACTTGAAAAGAATGGAACCACCATCTAACAGTCATATATCTTTGAGGGGGTTAAGAACATGGGGTCATTTGATCGTTACAGCTCGTATTATCAGGTTTTCAACTGTATCTATGCTATCATTGATTTGTATATTGTCCTGTATCCAGATCTGCAGCACTCAACAATTTTACGCAACATGTAAAGTTTCTCCCTATATTATGATCTCCTAGACTTTGAATTTGGATGTTTCTCTTTTGCTAAATTATGTCAGCGCAACGCAATTGCTTGAGGGGAAATGCTCTCAGCTCTTGCTTTAGCTTTGACTTCACCAACACAATGGAAGTTAATCCTATAGTTGTCCTAACGTTAAAAAAAGCTGTATTTTCAGTTCTCTAATGTTATAGTTATTTGTACAGTTCTCTAAGCTGTATTAGATTTCTATAATAAAAACATGAGTCACAAGTGTAGGACTTTAGATCCAGAAAAAGCAAAAGGCTTTTACATTCAGTTGATATTGGGAAATTCTTGTTCAATTATTAAGCCAATGATCAAGACCGAAAGAGAGAAATGCTACTTGATAGAGACCATTTTATTATGCTTCGTAGATAAACTTGGGATTTTATTTTGTGGGACAGTGCATTGCTGAAAGTATATCCAACCAGCATATCTGGGAAAAGTGATCAAATGTTGACACAGAAAGAAAGAGAACAGGTGAGAAGGACAGCCCGATGCACAAAGCATCTTGTATTCACACTGGGTTTTGGGAAGTGTCGCATCCCAAGGGGTGTGATGTACAGTCTACTCAATGCAAGCATTAATGACTGCATTTATATCTCATGCTGTAACTAATTTATCAAGTCTATAATTATCCATTAAGTTGACACGTCACTGTCCATGTAAGCATTATGTAACTGTCAACTCAGCACCATGTCGAAGTTACGTTCTGCTAAAGGTGGTCGATTGATCATCCTTCGTCTAAAAATTATATTGTGACGTTGAGCATTAATTTTTATAATTATATATAAAAATTATATATATATACATACATACATACATACATACATACATACATACTATATTAAAAGCACGAAGGCCCTTAGCAAAATATCGTTCACCTTTTTTATCCATTAAAAATAGAGTTCACATTGAGTAAAATAGTCATTTCATTATTTTTCCTAATGTTTAGGATTAAAAATCTGTAATACTTAAGGGGCCTAATTTTTCAATTATTTTCCTAATAATTAGTAATTCCAAATCAAGTAAATTTTGTTTATTAAATTCTTCCTTATTTAAACTATGTACTAAAACAAATTTGTTAAAAAAAAAACAATAAAAGACAATCAAAGTATTTTGTAAATATTTCAGTAAAATTAATTACATCCGTTTGAATTCCTTTTATGTTTTGGGAGTCTTTTGTTTGTTATAAATTTCAACCAATCAATTCTTTAAAAATTAGGTTAAGAAAGTAAAGTATTTCAATAAAAATAATTATATTCGTTTGAACTCCTTTTATGTTTTTGGAGTCTTTTGTTTGTTATAAACTTTAACCAGTTAATTCTTTAAAACAATTAGGTTAAGTTTTTTTAGCTCTTTCGTTCCTTTTAGATTTAGGAGTCTTTTCTTTTTGTTTGTTATAACACATGAAAAAATCACATTGGGAAACTTCGAGCATGTTGAACTCCTTTTAGGTTTAAGAATATTTAAAAATTAACCAATTAATACTTTAAGATTATTTAGGTAAAAAGTTCATTATAATATTTAGTAATTCCAAATCAACTAGATTTTGTTTATTATATTCTTCCCTATTTAAAATAGGTAATATAATAAATTTATAAAAGAAAAAATCAAAGTATTTTGTAAAGTATTTCAATAAAATTGATTACATCCGTTTGAACTCCTTTTACGTTTTGAGAGTAATTCCTTAAAAAAAGTATAGGTTTTTTAGCACTTTCAACCCCTTTTAGATTTAGGAGTCCTTTTTTTTTTTTGGGTTTTTGTTTTTTATAACACATGAAAAATTCACATTAGAAAACTTTTCGAGCACGTTGGACTCCTTTTAGGTTTAGGAATATTTATGAAAGAGTTAACCAATTAATTTAAAATTATTTGGGTAAAGAATCCATTATTCCTTTAAAAATAATATTTTATGTAAAGAATTTGAGCACTTTTACAACTTTAAGGTTTAGGATTTTTTTTTAAAAAAAAAATTGAGCAATTTCACCTCTTTTTTAATTTAGGATTATGTGTTTATCGAGAATTCAACTTCTGCTGCAAAGCATTAAGTCCTTTCGCGAAATACTGTTTGATTGTTTTTATCGTTTATAAATAAGTTTTACATTGGACAAAATTGTAGCTTAGTTATTTTCTAATATTTAGGAATTTAATATCAAATACAAATTTTGTCATTAAATCTTTTTAATTCAGAAAGTGCGAACACACAAAAAAAAAAAGAAGAAGAAGAAGAAGGAAAAACCAAAGTTGACACCTAAATCGGAGAAATCAAAGCAGGAAACTAAAATATGGTGCACCTAGAACTCTATTATGTTTAGGATTCTTCCTTCCGAGTATAATCGATTTAATTATTTAGGGATAATGCATAAAATTCTCCCCGACCTATGGCCATATTACCAACTACACATCTTTTCTTTTTGGGGTCCTATTACCCTCCTGAACTTTTTTTAAGTAATATTATTTACTCCTTAAAAAGCAACAATCAGATGCGTGCAAGGTGGTAAATACACGCGTCTAAAATGTGTATTTCTTACTTAAAAACTTTTTTTCACCGTTTTCTCCTTCTTCCTTATTTTCCTATTTGCAGGCCTTCATTACCATATCCGGTCAAAAGGCAAAAACCTCATTTAATGAGTTTTATATAATACTTGTTTGATATTGTCAGATCTGGCCGGAGAACGAAACTCCGACGAAGACCCTTGCTCCAATGAAACTCCAGTGAACGAAACCGCTTTGACTGTTCGTAGGTTCTTACTGAATCATGCTCGTTGCTCCCTCTAGTTGTTGCTCTATTTCTATTATTAAACATATATGTTTTTGATTTCTAGGTTGATTTTGCGTTGTATTGGATTTTTGCTCCGGCATTTCGCCGTTGAAACGATGTCCCCCTTGTTCGTGCGAGAAGAGGTTTAAAAGCGAAGGAGACTAATTAATTTGATGTAATTAATTCTGTAATGTCCCATCAAAATATGACACTTGTACTTGTTAATCAATTTTAAAATTATTTTTATAACTTTCACTTGCCTTTAAGAGAGTGTGCACACTCTCTATGCCATGTCAGCACTTAAGGTGGTGTTTATTATACTTTAAAATAGTTCAGGGCGATAATAGGATCCCGAAAAGAAAAAGTGTGCAGTTGGTAATATGGTCATAGGCCGGGGAGGATTTTATGCATTATCCCAATTATTTATATACTACTAAACTACTTATATACATCTAATCATTATAATTCTGAAGCAATGTCACTATATCTTTTCTGCAAAAAAAAAAACATATTTATTGTTAGGTCTAGAAATAAATTGTGATTGGTAGTTTGTGAGATATTAGAATAGAAATAACGGTATGAAGATATATTTGTAGGAAATAAGCTTAAAGTTGTCATTTCACGTGGTCATAATTGTGATGTTCTTCGTGTAAAAGATATATCTACAACTTCTTAGGAGTTAGAACTTGAGACTCGTGACGACATTCATGCTTGATTTTTCAAGTTATTTCCTCAAATAAGTATAACGGTCATAAAAGGACTAGAATATAATTGGGAGCAATTAATATAATTAGGCTGCCGAGATCTTTTAGATCAAAGTCTTCCTTTATTGAGTTAGCTAAACAAAATCAATATTCTTAATATTTTCACGCATTTAAATCTTTTTTTAATATTTTAATTTTATAATATAATTTTTGGACATCACGCGTACCAAAAGATTAGTACATGTAAAATATAAGGATTTAGCGGTATATAACATATATTGAATGCCTTTTGTCGGAGAATTTTTTTCCACCTTTTTCAAGTTTGAATACCATTGGAGAAATTTCTGACTTCGCTACTAATGTTATTGTCCAGTTAGCTTCCTCGTCATTATCCAATCAGGCAATGATGCGTCATAAAATAGCTTCTTTCGATATACTTGACTTGATTCTCCAGATTTCTTTTTACAAACTCAAGTTGATTCATTGCTTTAAATTCGAAAGGTTGTGTTGAAAGTCAAGGGAATTGATACAATTGTGTTTTAGAATATTCCATGAAATATAGCTAGCACTTATTATATACTGTAATATTTAAAATTAATTCTCCGGACAATAAATTAAAGGCTTTCGGCATTTTTTTCGTAGTTTTTATAAGGAAACCAAAAGGAAATAAAAAGTTTTGCCCTACCTACGTAGGTCTTTCCAACGAGGCATCTGTTGGGATAAAATAAATAATCTCGCTCAGGAATAATATCCACAGCAAATAATAATAACACAAGAGAGTAACAATGACACCAAATATTTTAGCGGGATAAAATACAATATCCGAGTGTAGCAATATTACCACTATAATATTACAACTCAGTAGTGTCAAGAGACTACTACAACTTTGAAAGAAATAACACTCTTTATATAAAACACCTCACTACAATATTACTACCACTCACTAGTTATCTCACAGACAACAATCTGTGGATTACTCTCTCTAACTTCTATTGTTTCTCTCTTATTTTTGTGTGTTTAAACCAAGAGGGAAGCATCTCTATTTATAGGTAAAATAGCCACCCTCTCAGCCAATCAAAATTGACTTTTGCATTGCAAATTGAAATCGTGATCAGCCGCCCATATGCAAATTTTCAAGCAGCTTATTTTGTCCACTCCAACTTTTCTATCTTATTTCCTTTAGTAAGTGAGGTATGGACCCCACAAATCTCTCCCTTAATTTTAATTTTTCTTCTTCAGTCCAAGTCTTGTTTTCAATCTCTGAAAATCTTCAAACTTGAGAGGCTTTGTAAAAATGTCTGCAACTTGATCTTGAGACTTCACATATTTAAGCTCGACTTCCTTCTTGGCAATGCACTCTCTGATAAAGTGATACCTTGTATCTATATGCTTGCTTCTATCATGATACACTGGATTCTTCGCGAGTGCTTGTGCTGATTTGTTATCAATACAAATCTCTGTAACTTCCATTTGTGGCAAATTGAGCTCCTTTAATAATCTCCTTAGCCAAATAGCATGACAGGTACATGATGTTGCTGCTATATA